TCGGACATCTTTGCAGAAGCAAATTCCTCGTGGCCTCTTTCCATGTTGCCCTATCCTGAGCCTCTTCCTCATCAGCCTGCTGAGACCTGCTGGTCTATTCACAGGAAACGTCAGGGTCTGTACACTAGTGGCAGAAAGTCTCTGTGGGTCAGTGAGGGGTAACTGTCCCGTTTGCCAGAATGGTGGGCAGGGGCAAGAGCGGAGTCTGGGCGGGGAAAGTCATGTCCTGCTCCCCCAGTCCTGACTGGCACCCTGAGAGGGGGTTGCTGATACTGTAGGATGAAAGAAGGAAGCAGAGAGCAGCTGGGAGCTCTGTTTAGAAGGTAAGAAGCCGAGGCTGGGAAGGGCTGTGGTTGTTCCATAGCCACGCTGCAAATTAGCGGCGGAACCAAGGCTGAAACTGCCTCTCCTGACACCCTTTGGGTTGAATCACTTTGGGTTAGATTCCTCTGGCAGGTCTCCCATTAAGATTGCTGCTGGTTTTACAGCTGGGGTCTTTGGTCAGAAGTGACTGGTTTACATAAACGTGGCAGCCATGTGAGAACCAACACTGACTTTGGGTTGTCTTCCCCTGGGGAGGTTGCTGCAGATTTTAGTCTAAGGGCAATATGTGTCAGGACTTCCAGATACTGCTGTTCAGCTGGGAGACCGAGCACAGGAGGGCTGGGCTCCGGAGTGTGCACTCTGACCTTCATCACATCACATCCTGCCTCTAGGCTTGGTTCCCCCCATCAGGAAATCATTGGGGAAAAGGGAACTCAAGTCTCCTCTGAGTGTAGGGTTAAGATCCTGTGGAAGGTGAATCTGTATGCCGAGGACACTCATTTTTCTACCACCTTCTGGATCCAGCCTTGTTTGTGCTAGAATGGCCCTGACAGCTTATCTCAGCTCAAGTCCGAGTATCACCAAATCCTATCGGTTTAAAACACCTTTTCAAGTATTCAAATGATTGGCAAGTTCTATCCTCTCAGGGCCCAATTCTTCCCTCCACACACTGTGTAGTCTGGTCATCCATGATAAAGTCCCCAGACACCCACGGCTGCAGGAGAAAGCCCTGTGCTCAGAGAAGAAGAAGAGTTTGCGATGGATGTCCTGGGAGGAGCCCTGGAGAGTCGCTCCTGCAGCTGGAAACCCCACCAGCCCCTGAGTCTGTTTCTGAGGCCAGGAAGGCACGGGCTTCACACTGCTGGGCTGCTCTTTCTGAAACAGCTTTCTGCAGAAAGGCAGGGACATGCAGGAGGCAGAGCAGGAGCTGGGCGTCCTGTGCGGGCTCTGCTGGCACTGCTCTTAGCTTAGCCTTTCAATATCTCCGGATCCCAACTTGAAAACATTTGCACAAGCATGTGCTGCTGCTCTCTTGCCTGTGTGTTCCATGCTGGGCTGGGTGCTCCCTGAAAGTTGTGTCTGTGCTGTCTTTGTCTATTCCCAGCACCTATTATACGGGAGGCGCTCAATCCATGGTTTTTAAATAAATGTATGCCCTGGAAAGCAGCTAGCACGTATTAAGTGTCTACTATAATTGGGCAAATTGTGAGACATTTTCTTTGTGCCATTTCACAACTAACCGTATTAAGTAGGGTATTATCATATTCATTTAATTAATGGGAACTTTGTGGGTTCTAATTTCTAGTTAAGATGTCCTATCCTGTGCCTGCTGGATTCTGTGGCCAGTGGGGCTGGGCTACTGGACATCCCATTTCTCTGCTTCCTTGCTTTTGCGGCCATTCTGGCTGGCCAGGTGAGCAGGTGAACATGCTGGGCACTCTCTTTGTCATCTGTGCCCTAGGAGATCCTGGCCCAAGCCAGGCCATTTTGGCAGACATGTGCTCACTCTGTGATTCATTAGACCTGCTGCTTTCCAAGAGGCGGAAGGCAGAGCTGCTGGGATTCCCCAAATGCCTTCCCTGACGCCAGTGCCTCCAAGCAGGATGCTGCTCCCCATGACATTGTCTGCTCACAACTCATGGCTTCCGGGGACTGCGTGGACTCTCTGACTTGTCACTCCTCAGCCCACGCCTCTGTGTCAGGCTCTCCCAAGATGACTTTGCTATGACAACTTCTTCCCTTATTACTATAAACACTGAATGTCATTTTCCAAATAGCAGTCCCCAAGCCACCATGTTCTGTTCTAAGAAGAAGCCAGCCTCATTTGTAATCATCCCTGTCACCATCAGGATTTCACTGTGTCCCCCTTGCCACACTGAGGACTGTGCTGTTGGTGTCATCTCTGACATTAAAAGGGGTGAGCTTCCAAAGAGGCAAACTGTCCAAGATCTCAAAACCAAAGGATTCTTGACCCATAGTCAGAGAACGGACAAGTCTCAATCTTTTGTGTCAAAACTCTCAGCAGAACAGAGCCAACTAAGGTATTAATGGCCTCTTACGTTTGCATCCTGCTCACTGTGTGAAAAACCCTTTGCACCCTTGATTGCATTGACCCCACAGCATCATGTGAGTAGGACCAGCATCATCATCCCCATTTTACAGATGGGGAAACTGAGGTTTGGGAGGGGATGGGATTTGCCTGAAATCATGGAGCTCTTTCTTTGAACATCCTTTGGTGGCCTTTGTATCTTGCATGCCTCTATAATCCTGATAAATAAAAAATAGTCAATAAATGATTGTTCATTGCCCTATGACTGAATAGTGAACTATGACTTACATTTAGGACTTTGATTCACAGCATAATATTTTTTTTCTGCTGCACCACTGTGAACTAATTGAGTTTTTCCAGCAATGGGTAAAAAGGTTCCCCTCCACCTTGTCTAGTCAGTGACTTTGGGCAAGTTATTTGACCTCACTGAATTTCCTCATCTATAAAATGGAAGATAATACTAGCTTCTGCTTCATTGTGTTGTTTAGTATTAAATTTAAAAAATGCATGTAAAGTGCATAGCAGTGACTGGATAGCACATCTAGGAAGTGCTTAATAAGTATTAGTAATAGTTATAGTTATTATTATTCAAGGGTAGGGACTGGGCATTACATATCTTTGTAACCCAGGACTTGGTACAGTAATTGGCAAGACACTTGATTGTAGGGCTCAAGACACTTGCTGCCAACACACACTCATCATGTGACATGGAGCAAGTCCCTTCCTTCTCCTGGGTCTCAGTTCCAGTTCCAACACCTGTGAACTGACGAGGGTGAACCAGATAAATCCCATGGCTCCTCCCAGCTTTAAAATGCTCTGGTTATTTCAGTGGTTCTCAATGGGGATGATTTCACCCCCCAGGGCACATCTGGCCATGTCTGGAGACATGTTTTTGGTTACAACCACGAAAGGTGCTACTGGCATCTAGTGGGTAGAGGCCTGGGAAGCTGGGGACCATGTACAAGTCAATGTTGATGAAAAGAATTATCTGGCTCTAGCTGTCAATAATGCCAAGACTGAGCAACCCGGATCCAGCTCTACACAAATACCCAGACATCTGGCCATGTCTGGAGACATGTTTTTGGTTACAACCACAAAAGGTGCTACTGGCATCTAGTGGGTAGAGGCCTGGGAAGCTGGGGACCATGTACAAGTCAATGTTGATGAAAAGAATTATCTGGCTCTAGCTGTCAATAATGCCAAGACTGAGCAACCCGGATCCAGCTCTACACAAATACCCAGAGCTCTCTGAATTGCTGGACAGGTGCCTGTGTCCTACAGTTTGCCAAAATGCCCATGGACGCAGCATTCCTCCATACAGCAGAGAAATCTATGGATCTCCCCTTCAAGAAATTACTAAGCAGTCCATACAGCTTTATTGAGAAATCAGTAGGCAGAACCCACCCTCCCCCAACCCAGCACACCATGGAGGTGGAGGATGGGTAACATCTCGTTCAGATGGGAACCCTCTGCAAGGTATTTTCTCAGAGAGAAGCTAAGTCCAAAGGCTAAGCTTAACTAGAAATTTGAGATCTTTCTCCTGCAAACATGCCATAAAGAAGGATCTCTCACCCTTATCCTATATAATAAAAGGCTAATATGCAAATCAACCAAACAGCGGAACGACCGGTCACTATGATGTGCACTGACCACCAGGGGGCAGATGCTCAATTCAGGAGCTGCCCCCTGGTGGGAGCGCCACTCAGCCCAGAAGCTGGGCTCATGGCTGGCGAGCACAGCGGCGGTGGTGGGAGCCTCTCCTGCCTCCACGGCAGTTGGACATCCCCCGAGGGCTCCCGGACTGTGAGAGGGCACAGGCCAGGCTGAGGGACCTCCCCCCCCACCCCCCGAGTGCACGGATTTCATGCACCGGGCCTCTAGTTGATTATAAAGTAATCAGACCTGGGGCCATTCACAACTGGGGTCTTGCAGTGGTATTTACACTTATGGAATGAGAAAAAAGGCAGCCACAGAGATGCCCTGGTTCACGTTGGCTTTTCAATGTCACCACTTCTAGAGGCACACTGGATCAGGAAGTAGGCAGGTATCTTCTAGAGGAGTTCACTGACATGAGTATTGGGTGTCACTTCAGTATTGGGTAAGCTTTAGAGGTTCTAGAACAAAGGTTGTTCCAGTCTACTGATTTGAGACTGATACCGTGTGGTCTCCCTGACCAGTTCTGCTCTAGGTCTCATGCTCCTGCAGGACCTGCTTGGATGGCTACAATAGTTTGCTCTTTCCCTTCCCACCAAAGTTCTGCTAATAAAACCCACTTTCCAGCACATTAAATTACTTTCATTTCGGCCATTTAACACTCCCCTTGGCTGTTTTTCCTTGGCTCTGTCTGAACTTTGGGAAATGAATATCTTTAACACCCACTCATTAAATGCCCACTCTGCCAGCTGCTCCTCTGGCCTCTGGAAGGCCACCAGCCTGGGCAGCCAGAGGGCCCCACAGACCAGGGCCCGAGACACTATCCAGGGAATAACAGCAGTTATGGCTCAATCTGATCCCTACCATTAAAGAGCAATTGTGAGCTTTAAGTAGATGTCACAGACTCTGAACTTTTTCGGCCAAAAGCCAAGTTGTCTTCAATAAAATAGATCTGGAATGGGCAAGGACTTACCCATGCTTCCCCGGAGTGGGTACCAGGAGGATCTCTCTTCCAGCCTCGTTGTGGGGCAGCAGCTGGGCGACGTACCTCCCGGAAGGCTGCAGGTGCCTGTGCACGGAGACGGCCAGCCTGCAGTGCTCACTGCTGCTCCTCATCCACGGGCTCAAGATGGTATGCTTGGAGTTTGCTGAGGTGTTGAGGAGGAGGAAGGAGCCTGCCAAGAGACAAGGAAAGTGACTCTTCAGATCTGTCCAGAAAAGTGGACCAGCAGCACCTCTGCAGCAGGTGTTAGAGACCAATGGCATCAAAGTCCGTGATGCTGGAGGCCTTTATCACTCTCTGCACACACCAGCCCTCTTCCCCATCTCTTCCCTTTGTAAAATCTAAAACCTGATGTAAGAGAATGGTGACTGAGGACTGGGGCTTTATAATCAGGCACACCACGGTTCTCACCTTAGCATCCCTACTTAGTAGCTCTATGTCCTTGAGTCTCAGGCTCATCACCTGTAAAATGGGAATGGAAACCTCTATTTCAAGGGTGGGTGCCAGGATTATGTGAGATAATCCTGGAGAGCATTTCACCCACTTTTAGGCAGGGAGGAAGCACCTATTAAATAATCAATGATTTGATTTTACTGTCTTCGAAGTTAAAGTAGAGATGACAGCTCACAGATTCTTTGCCAGCCAATAGGTACAATTAACAAAATCCCCCATAGGAAGCAGGGGAAGAATAGTGTGTATTACCTAATCCTCACAGGGTGAACAGTTAGAAACCCAACCCAAGTGCTAAGACATTCGTATAGATTTACATACTGGTCTAACTGAGTTACTCCCTCCATAAATGTGCCGAGTGGAGCCAGGACATGAGTGCCATCTTGTGAACATCAGTCTAGGGCAGCCGTGGGCAAACTATGGCCCCCGGGCCGGATCCGGCCCGTTTGAAATGAATAAAACTAAAAAAAAAAAGACTGTACCCTTTTATGTAATGATGTTTACTTTGAATTTATATTAGTTCACACAAACACTCCATCCATGCTTTTGTTCCGGCCCTCCGGTCCAGTTTAAGAACCCATTGTGGCCCTCGAGTCAAAAAGTTTGCCCACCCCTGGTCTAGGGTACCTCCACACCCCAGAAACCAGGACTCTGGCATCTAGGCCACTCTTTAGGTCACAATTTAAATCAGAGCTGACTAAGTTCTCCATGTCACATTCAAGCCAGCTTGAGTTTCAATTTATTGTTGGCCAATTCAGTTTCCCAGTAATGTATGCATTAGCTCTCGGTTCTCAAATAGTTATGACCGGCTCAAGGTTTTCCTTGAGAGGCATGTGCTTGGGAAGGAAGTATTTGGGTCACTTATAAGGTAGTAGTTAAGATCCTGGCTCCTGCTCCTTTGCTTACTTGCTGAGTGAACTTGGGCAAAGCAGTGACTTTCTCAGGTTTCAGTTTTCTGTTTATCAAATAGGGTGAGAAGGGTTGGCTGAACTTATAAATCTCTGAAGATCCATTTCTGCTCTCGGGTCTATGAGCCATGTGAATTTGCAACTGGTCTCCAGAAAGAAATCCCTACAAACCCCTCACCCCCACGCCCACCCCCACCCGGTGCTGTGCCTGTGGCTGAGTTTCCCTCTGGGACAAGCCAACCCTAATTCCAGTAGCAGTGGCCAGTGACAGACAAGAAACTTGTATTTCTGGTGGTTACTGTCAGCATAAAAGCACAGCACCATGTTACTGCTCCAGGCATTCCTTCTGGTGCACTAGTTTACTAGCCACACTTCTGCGTTGCAGTTTTGGACCATTAGATGCTGATCCTTGGCTGTGGAAGCCAATTCCAACAAGATCTCCAACACTTCCAGTGGGAACCAGATAAGAAGTGTTCAGCTCAGCCTTTTAACCCCCCACCCCTTCTTTCTGGGCACCTCAAATTAGTCTCCTTCTCCAGATAACAGGACTTACCAAGTAGGCAAATGAACTAGCACCCCTCAATAGAGAATGATGCAGATAAAAAAGAGGGTATTCCTATGAGAAGCAAAGCAGCATCCAAGGAGAAGGCATTGTGTCAGGATTAGAGATTTGCAATATTCTGGAGGTAGGTGAATGTTACTTTTGGTTAAAATCAGGAGAGGTCAGCACAAGACTGTTTCTGAGCTGGATGGCATATACTGGAAACTGAGTCCTCTGTAATGTTAGGAAGCTTTAGCATGGCATATGGGCCTTTGAAAGTGCTCTACAACCCTTGGTAAATAATCTATATCATTACTCTGTTTTACAATGGGGGAGGCATTCTTATAATGGGCTTGGAAGTAAAATAAAGGATTAGAATCAAAGATTCAGAATTAAAAAGGACTTAACGAGCATATAATACAGTGCCCTTGATTTTCTATGGAAGCAGACTGGAGATCAGAATGGAAAAATGACTTATTCAAAGTCTTAAATAGGAAGTCCAGACCAGACCTCTGGTCTCTGAACTCTTAACCAGTGCTCTTTCCCTTCTTCCTTTTTCATTATCCCACTGTATCCTTTATCCTAAAAAATGACCAGGGTGCCTTGTGGCCAAGTTGTGTAGCTCAGGAACTCAGAGGGATGGGAAAGGAGAAAGAAAGGCAGATGGGACCTGAACCAAATCCATTTGTTCACTGGCTTCCTTACCCACTCGCTCTGCCCTCAACGTTCATTTAATGGATGCCTACTCTGAGCAAAGATTCAAGCACTGGCGCTGCCCTGGGGACACAGACATGAACCAGACACAGTTCTGGCCTTCAAGGAACATCAGGTCCAGGAGGGATGATGGGGTGTTTGCAGTAACTGCAATACTGTACTAGATTAGAGTGTATCTGGCCAGAGCAGGTGAGAGTTCTATAATCACTTCTGGGTCAGAATCTTGTTCCAGACATTTTGGAGTCATGGTCTGGGGTTAGGAAAAAGCCACACATGCCACACATAAGGTGTCCTGGTCTGAGATTGTACTCTAATGTATTCAAATAGGTGGAAAGTAGACTGAAACCAATTTTGGAGCTTCTGAAGGAAAGAATGTAGGTAAATAAAGGAGGTGTTCCCCTTCTCATAAAAAAAAGAGTTTACATGCATGTGCACACACACACACACACACACACACACACACGCACACACACACCTGGGAAACTCAAGTTCCCAGCAGGAGAAAATGAGGCTGAAAATGCCGGGACTTGGGGGTCTTACAGCACCACTGTTCCTCCTTCATGGGTGTGAAAACATGTAAATTCTGTCCTTGTAATTCAGTACCTCAATAATGGGACTCTTTCAGAGATGACTGGAAGATGGATGATTCCTCCATTTCTAATATGTGAGATGATGTTTATATGAATTTTATTTTGTGCAACTGGACTATCAATAAGAGACAGAACTTAAAGTATTTTCACTCTCAATGAAACTCTGTCGTTGAGAGCTATCTCTTCATCAGCAGCTTTCCTCTACCAAAAAAAAAAAAAATACATTTCATAAGCTCCTTGGGATATTGTCAGCATAAATCTTTTAAAGTCAGTGAGAATTTATCTCTCTTCTCCCTCTTTTCTGTTTCCTGTACTTTGCTCAGAATAGCTTGGGGCTATGTGAAGGCTCCTGGGATCCCCTCTAATTAAGAGGGATGGCCTGGCAGCTCACAGACCTTCCGGTGGGGCAATGCAGAAGCAGATCAAAGGCTTTGTTTACTCAGTGCTGGGAGTGGATCCTGGTTTCCTTATTAGTGGATTGGGTTGATATGTTCAACACTTAAATATGAAATAGTTGTTGTTTTTACCTTTGGTCACCAATACAGGGCTGTGGGCTTAAATTATGAATCAGAAACCAAGGGCAGGAACCTCGAGGTCAGACAGACTCTTTCCTATCTAGGCTCTGCCTCTATCCAGTTCTAGGATTTAGACAAATTATTTAAATTCTTTAAACCTTAGTTTTCTCAAATTCAATATGGGTGTAGCCTACTTCCTATGGCTGTGGTGGGGGTGAAATGAAACACTAGTAATATGCATAAGGGGCCAGTACAGCTCTTGGTCCTCAGTAGGAATGAGATACATGGTGATTCCTGCTTCGAGGAGTCTGAGCTCTGTCAGTAGCCTTGGAATTGGACTGAATTTGAGCCACTACCAAGCTTCCTTTGTTTGTAAACCGCAAGGACTGGATAGAGTCTCTCTAAGGGACCCTACAGCTCCAAACTGTCAGTAACTCTATCGGCCTGCCTGGAATATTATTCATCTAAAGGAACCCTGTCAAGTCTCCAAGCTCCCAAGCCCTAAAGACTTCTCCTCCTAATTCACCTCTCTGGGGTTTTTAAACTAAGAGTTTCAATCAACTGATCAAATACTCTGTGAACTGACTCCCTGCCCCACTTCCTCGCTTCCCATACCAGCATCATTTTTTCTGTAGATGCTTTTGCTATAAGGCTATTATCACTTCTAAATGTCTGATATAGCACAATGCTTGTCACATGCCAGGTATGCAATGACTTTAAAAAATTATGTATATATTTTATTGATTTCAGAGAGGAAAGGAGAGGGAGAGAGAGATAGAAACATCAATGACAAGAGAGAATCATTGATTGGCTGCCTCCCACACACCCCACATTGGGGATCGAGCCTGAAACCCAGGCATGTGCCCTGACTGGGAATCGAATTATGACCTCCTGATTCATAGGTCGATGCTCAACCACTGGGCATACTGGCCAGGCTGCAATGACTTTTTTAAAATCAAAGTAACATATACACGTGGCAAGAAATAAAATTGTTCAGAATAGCTCATAACAATTTTTTAAAAACTATCCCCAAATCATTCTCCTCTCACCAAGTCTCAAAAACATTTTTAAAGATTTTTACTTTCTTTTGCCTTCATGACTCTAAATTAGCGGTTCTCAACCTGTGGGTCGCGAACAACGAAAATACATCCTGCATATCAGATATTTACATGACGATTCATAACAGTAGCAAAATTACAGTTATGAAGTAGCAACGAAAATAATTTTATGGTTGGGGGTCACCACAACATGAGGAACTGTATTAAAGGGTCGCGGCATTAGGAAGGTTGAGAACCACGGCTAGTGTTATTTGTTGGTGCAACAACTTTAGGTTCTTTCCATTGATGCCACAGTAAGAAAAATTATGCTATCCCCTTTCTAATACTTGATTTTTAAAATCCCTTTCAACTTTTTTATGACTTACCTGTTTAATTTTACATGGCAAATGTATTACT